GGATGTTTTCCTTGACATCAAGCATAAGTTTGCTTCTTGACGACATCCTCCTGTTCATCACGCTTAGTTCTGCCCTCTGTGGCCAAGCAGATGAAGTCTAATGCCCCTTCCCAGCTTGACACCCCTTCAGATCCTTAGACACGGGCTCTCATAACACCCCTGATACTTCTCTTCTCCAGGCTAGAAATCCATTGTGCCTTCTACTGTTCCTCTGATGGCATGATCTGGAGGTACTTGGCCATTTCCATCCCCCTCCTCAGTGTGTCAATCTCCTTCCTAAATGATGGTACCACAACACCATATTCCTGACTGTTACAGACTGTGGGCTGACCAGGGCAGAGAGCAGCCATCTGCCTCTGAATGCACATTAATTTTTATGGTTGCCATGTTAAACTGCTGATTCATATTGAACTTCCAGTTTATTTTTCAAAACAGGGAGGGGTGATGGAAAGGGGAAGTCTAGTATTGTGGAAAGAGTACTGGGCTGGAAATTTTGAAAGACCCAGATTTGAACCAAACCTCTCACACAAATTGGTTGTTTGATCGCAGGCAAGTAAACCATTTAGCCTCTCTGAATCTCAGTCTCATCATCTACAGAATGGGAATAATAACAACTGTAGTTCTGACTTCACAGGGTGATTGTAAGAATCACATGAGATTTTCAAACCTTTAAAGGGCTGTATACATAATTTTTTTTTGTTTTTGTTTTTTTGCTAGGTAATGGGGTTAAGTGACTTGCCCAGGGTCACAGTGTTTGAGGCCAGATTTTAACTCAGGTTCTCCTGACTTCAGGACCGGTGCTCTATCCATTGTGCCACGTGATACCCCACACACATAATGTTTTCAGTAGTTTTTCAGTCGTCTGACTCTTCATGACCCCATTTGGGATTTTCTTGGCAAAAGTACTAGAGTGTTTTGCCATTTCCTTCTCCAGTTCATTTTATAGATGAGGAAACTGAGGCAACTAGGGTTATATGACTTGCCCAAGGTCATACAGCTAGTCAGTGTCTGAGGATGGATATAAACTCAGGTCTTCCTGACTCCAGACCCAGCACTTTATCCACTGAGTCACCTAGCTGCTTCCCACATACATAACAGCTAGCATTTATTTATGAATTTAAAGTTTTCCAAGCACTTTACAAATATCTTCTTATTTTATCCTTACAATAACCCTGGGAGGTAGGTGCTATTATTATCCCCTTTTTACAGATGAAGACACTGAGGCATAGAGAGGTTGAGTGACTTGCCCAAGGTCACAAGGTTAGCATCTGAGCCTGAATTTTCAACTGGTCTACTTGACTCCAGACTCACCACATTATCCACTGTGCCATCTAGTGGCCATGTTAAGTATTACTAAAGATTCCCAGTACGATGATGGTGATATTAACTAGCTATGCTTTCCACCTTATGCTTGTGAAGTTAACTTTCTGAGAGGTAATGTAGGATTTTACACTTCTTCTTCTTCTTCTTTTTGTTATGAGGCAATCAGGGTTAAGTGACTTGCCCGGGGTCACACAGCTATTAAGTGTCAAGTGTCTGAGGCAGGATTTGAACTCAGATCCTCCTGACTCCAGGTCTGATGTTCTATCCACTGTACCACCTAGCTGCTCCTGATTTTATACTTCTGATTGTTGAATTTTATACTATTAGATTCAGCCCAGATCTTTGTGAGTCCTGACTCTGTCATCCAGCTCATTAATTATCCCTCCAATTATTGCAGTATCTGCAAATTTGATAGACATACCCTTCAGTCAAATTCAACAAGCATTTATTAAGTGCCTATGGTGTTCCTGGAATTTGGCATGATATCTATACCTTTATTCAAGCCATTGATAAAAATATTAAATTGTACATGGCCAAGGACAGATCCCTGAGGCACCCCACTAGAGACCTTCCCCCAAGCTGACATCAAGCCATTAATGAAGGAGTCCAGTCATGAATAGACTTTGAGTGAAGGTATTTAAAAGGCTCTGATGCCCCCTTATTTCCGTTATGTAGCCCACATCTCTACCTTCTTTAGAACTGTGGCTAAAGCATTCTAGCAGAGTGGTAACTAAGGGAAACATTTAAGTATGAAAAACAAACAGATTATATGTTCCAAAAATGAGATGACCTTGTATGATCTGGTCTTTGATGTGATGTAGCCCCTACTAACTCTAACATTGCATGAGTCTGTGAGTATAATAACCCTGTGAGGGCTGCCAGTGGGCAGATGTTATTATCCCCATTTTGTGGAGGGGGAAACTGAGGGATGAAAATATTTGCCTACTGATGGTCCCAATTAGTGGGCTCGGGCCCAGTCCTGCTGCCTCAGAGCCTAGCATTCTCTCATTTAGATCCTGCTGCCTCTGGCGGTGCCACTTCTTCTATAAGAAAGCTTGCTCCCCCCAGAGCTAGTCAAGGGAGCACTTATAAAGCAAAATGCTCATTAAGAGAAAGTGGAATGATGTGATCTGTCCAGGACCTGAAGTCCCTGGTCCCTAGACTGGGGAAGATGGAACAGAGCTGAGCAGCTGCCTTCTCAAAAACATCCTTTCCCTTCCTGCTTTCACACCTCTCCTCTCTCCCCATAGGTCCATCTTTCATCTTTGTTCTTATGGATTCTGTCTCTCTCTTTCAGTCTCTGTCTCTGTTTCCCTCTGTGTGTCTGTATCTTTGTCTCTCTGTCTCTGTCTTTCCATCTCCCTCTGTCTCTGTCTCTTTGTCTCTCTGTGTCTCCCTCTCCCTCTCTACTTTTGTCTATGTGTCTCTGTTGTTTACCTCTGTCTCTCTCTGTGTGTTCCCATTTTATTGGTTTCTCTCTTTCTGTGCCACCTTTTCTCCATTTCTCTGTCTCTCCCTCTTTCTCTGTTCTTGTGTGTCCCCTTTTTGTATGTCTCTGTGTCTCCCTTGCACTCTGTTTCTCTCTGTCTCTATCTTTCTCTATTTCTTGTTCATCATTTCAGTCATGTCTGATTCTTTGTGATCCCATCTGCGGTTTTCTTGGCAAAGATACTGGAGTGATTTACTATTTTCTTTTCCAGCTCATTTTACTGATGAGGAAACTGAGGCAAACAAGGTGAAGTGACTTGCCCAGGGTCACCCAGGTAGTAAGTGTCTGAGGCTAGATTTGCACTCAGAAAGATGAGTCTTCCTGACTTCAGGCCAGACATTCTATGCACTATGGCACCCCCTACCTGCCATTTCTATTCTGCCACTTTCATCTCCCCTCCTTTCTCACCTTGTTTCCAATTCTGATGTTTTGAGGGAGAGATCTCATCCCTGAACAGCTAGGTGGATAGAGAGTTGAACCTGGAGTCAGGAAGACTTGAATTTAGTTCCTGTTTTAAACACTCGCTGTATGACTCTGGGCAAGTCACTCAACCTCTCTGTGCCTCATTTTCTTCATGTGTAAAATAGGGATAATTATCTCAGAGAGCAGTTGTGAAGATCAAATGAGTTAATATATACAAAGTGTTTTACCAACCCTAAAGAGCTATGTAAATACTATTATTGTTGTTGTTGCCATTATTTTTGTTGTTATTATTAGCCCTGGTTGTGATCACGCCAGCCCAGGAGATGGGAGGTGACTCTCAGAGATCTCTGCTCCCCAGGACACATTTACTATCCCTTGTCCATTCCCTTGGCTGTTTCATGACATTCCTAGGGGAAGGGGGTGATCTGAGAAGCTGCTGCCAGAAAGCAGGAGACCCCTAAGTAAGTCAGGCCACTCATCTGAGCTCCCCCCAGGAAGCAGCTAACTTCTCTGTCCGGGCCAGAGGTGCTCCTCTGCACTACTTACACGTCCTCACAGGGCAAGTGCGGGGCTGGAATTTGGGAGGAGGGTTGACATGGAGTGATCGATTTAGAGTCAGAAGGAATCTTAGAGACCACCTAGTACAACCTTCTTGTTTTACAGAGAAGGAAACTGAGGCTCATTGAAGGGAGCATGGACCTGAGCCAAGATTCAAACCCAAGGTCTTCAGAATGCATTATCCCATCCTTCTACTCCTTATTAGGGATGGGCTGGTCACAGAACCATGCATGGATGTCTCCCTGGCCAGTATCCTGTGCTCTTCTCCACCAGGCAGGAAAGTGTGAACTCTAGACAGTATAAAGAGTGTAGAATAAGGATGGAAGAAGCCAAGAGCTGAACTTCCAGATTCTCAGAGCTAGAATGGATCCCTGAGGACCTTTAGTCCAATTGCTTGCCTAGGCAACGTCCCCTACCACATTCCTTATCCAGCTTCAACTTGCCCATCTCTGGCAATGGTGAACTCACTACCATCTGAGGAAGGGAGAACACAGTGTGTGCTGGGGGGCAAGTATAAGGGTGTAGGGAGAGACTTACTGGAGGAAGTGGGATTTAAGATGAACCTTGAAGGGAACAAAGGATTTGGAGATGGAAAGAAGGGAGGAGAGAGCATTTCAGACAGATGCAAATGATGACTCCAAAATTGAAAAGGTCAGACATAGATTTAAAGCTAGAAGGGACCTTAGAACATGCTCTGGTCCAAATCACCCTGCCCCCAATCTCTGCCATTTTACAGATGAGGAAACTGAGGCGCAGGGTGGGGGGTACTCAAGTGACTTCCTAAGGACACACATGTAGTGAGTGAAAGATGTAGAATTTGAATACAAGTCCACACACCCCAAATCTCAGCTCTCTCATTGCGTTGAAGAGGAAACTGGCTTAGGAAGGAGAAGTGTTAGAGCCTGCCCTAATTATCAGGTCTTCTTCTCTTGCCCAATTGCTCTTCCTGCCCATCATGGTTCTTTAAGGAGGCTCTGGTTTCCACGAATGTGTCTGTCGTTCCCTCCAGACTGCTTCCCTGCCCCGCCAGCCACCTGCCCCTCATGCCCCAGCTTCCCCTTTCATTTCTCAGAACCCTCCCCATTTTTGCTGAGTTTGTCTGTTTCTCTGGTGGAACCCCACCGGGGTTTATTGGTCAGGAAAGGGGAAGTGGGATGGGATGTGAAAGTTGGCACCCTTCTGTAAAGGAAGGGTAAGGTCATTTCCCTTCAGGCCCTAGTGACTCCCCTTTCTTGAGGGTGCAGACGGCTTAGAGACAGGCAGTCAGTGGAAGCATCTCACCTAAGACCAGCACCCCAAGGGCAGGTAAGACCTGAGAGTTCAGCCCCATCTTAGGGGATCTAGGCCTTGAGGCTGGGACCCAAGTTCCTGTCCAGTGAACCGGGGCTGGGGCTGAGGCTGCGAAATCATTTTCAGGGTCAGGATGCTCCCAGATTTCCTCAGAAATATCTGGGAACTATTCTCATGGTTAAGGGATAGGAAGAGTGACCAAGGGATGAGAGGGCTAGAGAGATGGAGCTGAGGGTGGGAGTGATGATGTGGACTTGGGGTGGGGGAGATGATAGACCTGAATGACAATTGGGAGTGGGGGAAGGGAACTGAGGAATCTGGGGATAAAAGGGTTGGAGATGAGGGAAACTGCTAATATGGGAGATGGACCTTGAGGAGAATGGGGTAGGAGGAGGATGGAATTTAAAGAGGAAAGGGGAAGAGAAAACCCGGCCTCAGGATGTTGGACTGAGCATCAGTTCAGAAGGAATACAGGTGGGGGGGGGGGTCCCACATGCTCAATACTCAATCCTCTCCCTTGACCCATTCTCCATCAGCCCTCCCTCCATCAGCAGAGCACCAAGCCTGCGCCTGCCTTTGCCTCTCAACCCCATCTCTCATTCCTGCCCTCTGGAGCAACTCCAGGGGTCCCTCTGCTGGGTATGGCCCAAGGAGAGGTATGGGGAGGGCTGCTGCCACCTGGTGCCACAGGCCCCCTCAGAGACAGGTGTCTGGCTGCGATCTTTTCTGGGGCTGGTACAGCTGGGAAGGGCCTGAATAGGGCAGACTCCTGTGAGCAAGAGAATGAGACAAGGGGATTAATGGGGCACCTGCCTCTGACCCCCTCCCGGTGTGGCCTTTCTCCCCACAGGCAGCATGGCCTCGTGGGCCTGGCTGGCAGCCTGCGTGCTGGCCCTGTGCCTGGGCTCCACCTTGCCACAGAATGTGTGCAGAGCTCCTGATGGGAAGCCGGGGCAGCCTGGAGCCCCAGGTCTGAATGGGCGCCCAGGACCTAAGGGGGATCGTGGCGAGCAAGGTAAGTACGGCCTCCAGGACAAATGCCCACCTCCCCACTCCAGGCAACCCAGCTCCGGAGGTCAGGGTGAGCACGGGGCAGAGGGTGGGGAGGGGGCGGTGAGCTGAGGTGTAGTGATAGATGGAAATCCCAGCTTTGCCACCGGCCGGCCAAGTGACTTTGGGCAAGTCTTGTTTACGTGTCTGTTTACAGTTTCTCTCCCCCTCTCCTTCCCCCTCCCCCCATTTAAAAAATAATGAAGGAAATGGGCTGTGTAATCTTCATGGTCCCTTCTTCTAGATCTAAGTTCTCTAATTCCCTAAATCCAAGCCCAGGCAGAAAGGGTCCATGAACAGAGCCTTGGGATAGTTCAGTACCAAATTTACAGCTCCCCAGCCTTACTAAGCCCAACCAACCTGAGCTCTGTCCTTCAGGGCATGAGAGGAAAGAAAAAGATCTCAGGGAAATGGAAGAATCCATTTAGAGCCAGCTGAATGTCTTAGGCCATTACGTTCAACCCCTCCATTTTGTGGATAACGGAACTGAGGCCAGAGAGGGGAAGTGACTTGGCCAAGGTCACACAAGGAGGAAGAGGCGGCAATGGGGTTCCAGTTCAGCTTTTCTGTTCCCAAATCCAGTGCTCATTCAACAGCACCAGAATAGGGGGAAACAAAACAAAAACGGGTCCATTTGTCTGCGTTCTGTGGATTCCGAGGATCCACCCTACCTCCCGGACAAACAGAGGCCAGTGTGCCCCTTCCCCAACTGAGCAAACCAGTCCAGACAGAGAAGAGAGGGTGATCCTTCTCCCTTTTACCTCTGGGACTCTGTGTTCTCAGGGCCCTCCCACCTCGGACATCCTCTGTTCTAAGGCCCCTTCTAGGCCTGCCTCTCTGTATTGGTACATTCTGTCTTCTAATGCTTTCAGGTGTTTCCTTGGGCGCTCAGCTTTACCCACAGGTGACCCCTGTCCCATCCTAGGGCACGGCCCTCAAGGTCCCTCCAAAATTGCTTCAGCTAAGCTGGGGTCTCTGGTGCTCAGACCACAGTCTCCCAGGGTGACTCGCACTCAGTCACTGAAATCTCTTTCATAATAGGGACACCAGGAGCAAAGACAGGAGTCCGGGGTCTCAAGGGGGATGAGGGTGAACCTGGTCTCCCTGGAAAGCCAGGGAATAGAGGTTTTGGAGGTCCGACCGGCCCCCAAGGACCCCCGGGAATGCCTGGAGAGAGCGGTCGCAAGGGAGAGACGGGAAGAATTGAAAAGCAGTCCCATCCAGCCTTCTCAGCAGTCCGGAAGAACCCACGACAGGATGACAGAGTGGTCATATTCGACCACGTCATCACCAACCAGGAAAACCACTATCACGGCAACACCGGCAAGTTTATCTGTAAATTAGCTGGCCACTACTACTTTGCCTTCCACGTGGTGTCCACTGGGGACCTTTGTCTCTTCATCACGACCTCCAAGGGAGGCCAGACCAGACGCTCCTTGGGCTTCTGCGACAGCAACAGTAAGGGACTTTATCAGGTCAACTCTGGCGGCACGGTGCTGACACTGGCAGAGGGTGACCAGGTGTGGATTGAAACAGACCCTCTCCGAGGCAATAAAATCTACAGCGGTAAAGATATGGATAGCGTCTTCAGCGGCTTCCTCCTTTTCCCCTCCAACTGAATTTGGGGCCGTAGGGTAGAGAAGCTTGGAACTCCCAGCAAAGACCAGCCTTTCAGCTTGCATCTCTCTAATCCTTTCCATCCACCCCCCCCCCGGAGCTAGGTGGGACCCCAGGGGTCATCCTATCCAATGCTTTGATTTTACAAATGAGGAAACAGGCTGTCAAAGAGGTACAGCGCCGCAGCCAGGGTTACAAAGTAAATGTCTGAAAAAGGCTGCTAACCCAGTGCTACCACACGATGCCAGTCTGCCTGCCTCTTGGGCAAGTCATTTAAAAACAACAACATCTTTTTCTTTTAGTACCTTAGGAACTTTCCAAAGCATCGTCTTCACAAACACCTTGGGAGGGAGAGAGAAGGGTCATTATTCTTATATGTCAGATGGGGAAACTGAGAATAGGAGCTAAAAGACAGCTTGTCTGGAGCCACAGAGCCAATGTCAGAGGTGGTGTTTGCACTGTCCCATGTGGTCTTCACATGTAACCACCCTTCTCTTGCCCTCTCTGTATAACATGAGAAGGATCCTTTGACTGCTCAAAGGCAGAGGGCATGGACCAGGTGATTGGTCTCTTGAGGCCCTTTCCAGCTCCAGGATCCAGAATGCTCTGTCTCCCTGTCCTTGGGCTCCCAATCCCTCAGTAGCTCCCTTCTGCCCCAACCCTGGGGCCATCAAAGCATTATCCACCAGAGCAAGAGAATGAGTACTCCATGCCAAAAGCACCATCTTTGCCTAAGCCTGTCTGCCCCTCTGCTTGGCTCTCCCACTTCTGAAGAAGCCCCTCTCCGGGACTTTGGCATCCCTGTGCTGATGGCTGCCCTCCCTCCTGTGTCCGGTCTCACTCATGGGCTTGACTTTGCCTCTCTCCTCCGCAGCCCAGGGCTGAGTGACCATTCGGTCACTCCTTCCAAGCCACCTCTGCCCATCCCTACACCCCTAGTGCTGAGGGGGGCAGTGATCCCCTCGCATCCTCAGCACAGCATGTAACCACCTGAACCGAGATCTTAATGAATAAATAAAGTGATTCAGTTCTTTCTGCCTTCTTCCTATTTTCCTTCAGGTATGACCTAGAGTGAAGATAGGGCAAGGATGAGGTGAGGATGGGGTGAAAAGTTTATAGGAGAATGGGGCTGAGAGAGGGTGGTCCTAGGGAAGACGGGGCTAGAAGGATGGGAGGGGGATATTGGAAATGTAGGAATAGGAAAAGGAGAATGGGGAAGGCGTAATAGGGCCCCAGGAAGAAGGGGTTGAGAAAGGATAGGCCTGGGGAGACATGGGGATGGAAGACTCAGTATGTGGGCCTAGCGAAAAGGCAAAAGAAATAGGAATAATAGCCTTTTTGAAGAGACAGGACTAGGAAGTTGAAGATATAGGAATGGGTGTATAGGGTTAAGAAAATGGAGGGACGGGAACAGGGAACGTAGATCGGGAGGTGAGGGGTTGGGAATGGGGCGGTTGGGGAGGAAGATGGCGGGGATGGGAAAAGGGGCTGGGGGAATATTCTCAGGGAGCACAGAGGGGAAAGCCAACTGCTCCTCTCTACTCTGGCCTCTCACCTCTTTTCCCTCAGCTTTCCCTCACCCCTCACTCCTGGGCCCTCACCAAGCCACCACTCCCTATGTCTCTTGGCCCTAAATCCCCTCCTTCATCTCTGGATGAGACTCTCAGAAACATCTTCAGAGTTTCCTCATTTCTCCCTCTATGTCCTGACACCAAACGGGAAAGGGAGGAGGGGTGGGGGGGTGAGGGTGGGGGTGGGGAAGGTGTTGAGAAAGCTCGGAATGGGGAAAAATGTCCTGGGGGGCACAAAGCTGGTGACTGATCACATGCCCGGCTCAGGACAAAGCCCTTCTTTGCGGGCCGTGGCCGCCACCTGCTGGCCGACGCTGGTCTGCGCGTGAAGGTCTTTCCCAGTCGCTGATGCGCCCTGAATCTCAGTTATGAGTGATCTGAGATTCTGTCTAGGATGGGCAGCCCAGGGGAAGCCCCAGGGACCAGCATCGTCTCGGGACCAGCAGAGGTGCTCACAGAACCACAAACGGGGGGAAGAGAAGGCGGCACCTTAGAACAGGGAATGTTAAAATTTAAAATGTTAGAGCTGGAAGGGACCATAGAGGTCATCTGCAGGCCTAATCCAATCACCCAACCCACAGAAAAGGAAAGTGACTTAACCAAAGTCACACAGGTCTCCTTGGATTCAAGTCTGTGAACCTTGCACTCCGTCATAATAAGAATAATAAAACCAATAGAGCGCTATTAAGGCTTGCAGAACACTTTGCATACTGTGATCTTTACAACAACCCTGTTAAATTGGTATTATTTTTATCTCCATTTTACAGATAAGGAAACTGAGGCTGAGTGAGGGTAAGTGACTCTTCCAGAGTCACACAGCTACTAAGAATCTAAGGATTTGAAGTCAGGTCTACCTGATTCCTACCCTGTCTCCCCACTGGCTTTGATCCATGCTATACCCACAATGCAGCTACTCTCTTAGGCCTCCACTGCTTAGGGCATGGATTCTGTGTTGTGTATCCAGCCATGGGAATAGATCAGGGTGAGATCTTTCCAACTGAAGGTGCCTATTTGCTCCCTGACTTGAGGCACGTCCCCACCGCACTCCCACCTTGAATCTCTCTCCGATCCGTGACAAATCCCAAGCGTTTTCTTGCTGTATGGATTAAGACAGTGGAGGCCCCTGATTAAGCATTAGCTAGAAGGAAGAAACAACATAACATCCATGAAGCCATTATCAGTCATTAACCCCTGAGCAAAGATGAGCTTATTAGACTTTCCAGTCTCCTCACAAGGCCTTGAAAGATTGGGATGAAGGAAGGGAGGAAGCAAATCTAGGAGAACTGAGCTGGGGTCCTGCCTCTGCCCCTAAGTCCTTGTGTGACGTTGGGGTCATCATTTCCTTTCTCTGAGCCTCAGTTTCCTCCTGTATAAAATGAGTAGGTTGAACCAGATGGCCTCTAAGGGCCCTCCCTGCTCCGACATTCTGTGCTCTAGGGGCCCTCCCTGCTCTGACATTCTGTGCTCTAGGGGCCCTCCCTGCTCCGACATTCTGTGTTCTAGGGGCCCTCCCAGCTCCAACATTCTGAGTTCTAAGGGCCCTTCTAGCTGCAATATTCTGTAATTCCCTAATTCCTCCTCTTTTGCAGGAAGCTCCCTGCCCTACCCCCTAACCCAGGCTCTTCCTAATCCCCAGCACGCTTCACACCCTGTCACCCTGCCATACTCTCTGCCTCATCCAGATCAATCCAGAGGTTCTGGGCCTGGGTCAGGAATAAGGAGCTTCTCAGTAGCCTCTCTCCACACTCCTTCGACCCCAATTTTATGCTCCTCCCCACCTTCACAAGACCTCCAACCCTCTTGTTTCCAGACTGAAGTTTGTGGGTGAGTGAAAAAGGGGCTGCCCTCCCCCCAGGAGAGCTGTCACTAACCCTTTAAGCCAGTCCTCCTAGGCTGTGACCCATGCTGAGGAGCAGTGAAAAAGCCAGTTTGGGCAGAACACGGGATCTGAATTTGGGAGTGCCGAAACCAAAGCTTAAAATCAATCAACGAGCCTTAATTAAGTGTCTACTATGTGTCAAGCACTGTGCTAGGCCCTGAGGTTCCAAAGACAAGAATGAAGCAAACATTAGATTATTGAGAATGAGACAGCCTGTACGCTGATTCTAATCAGCTCCTGGAGGGCTCTGAATGTCAAGCTCAGGAGCCTGGGCTTAATGCTAAAGGCAATGAGAGCCACTGAAAGTGCTTGAGCAGAAAAGGGTCTTGTTGAGATTTAGGAAAATTAATCCTTCAGCCTGTCCGAGATGGGAAGAGGGGAAGGGTTGTGCAGGGAGATGAGCGCTTTCTCTAACCCTCTAAGGTCACCTTTCATTCACTCTGAATATTTTTGTTGTTGTTCAGTCGTGTCTGATTCTTTGTGACCCCTTTTGGACTTTTCTCAGCAAAGATACTGGAGTGGTTTACCGTTTCCTTCTCCAGATCATTTTACAGATGAGGAAACTTGAGGCAACCAAAGTTAAGTGACTTGCCCAGAGTTACACAGCTAGGAAGTGTCTGAAGCCAGATTTGAACTGGAGGCTTCCTGACTCCAGGCCCAGCACTCTATCCACTCTGTCACCTAGCTGCCCCAACTCTGAATATAGTACTTGTTGTTATTTACCCCGTTGTCTCATTAGAATGTAAGCTCCTTGGGGGCAGGAACTCTTTTTACTTTTCTTAGTACTAATTTAACACAGTGCCTAGTTACTGGAGTGGGTAACCTGTGGCCTGGAGGCTGCATGCAGCCCTCTAGTCCTCAAGTGCAGCCCTTTGACTGAATCCAAACTTCCCAGAACAAATTTGTCAAGGGCCACACTTGAGGACCTAGAGGGCCACACGTGGCCTAGAGGCTGCAAGATCCCCACCAGTACTTAGTAAGCTTAATAAATGCTCATTGATCGATTGTTTTCTTCCCTTCCTTCCCAGCCCTTGAATTTATTACATTCGAATCTGGCTTCAAAACACTTCATGTGTGTTTGTGAGGGTGAATCTGTTATGTCAAAACAAAATGATCAAGTTTTGTTGGGGTTTTTTTAAATCAGCTTCCCAAGCTGGAGGCCTATTGAAATCCCAAGGCTTCCATATTCATTGTCAGGCTCAGGGGTCCTGCTGTGGGTACCCTTCTACCACCCTTTCCCCAAGGCTGACTGGCCGGTCTACCTGCCCTTCCTCCTCCCCTCCTCTCCTCTCCCACCTTCCCTGGTAGCACCTCCTCTAATCTTCCTTCCTGCCCATCTCCCACTCCCCAGCTGTGGAGGGGCAATGATCTCTGACAACTTCCGAGGTCCTTTGTCAAAGAATGAGATGGAGAGAGAAACCTCTGAGACTCCAGAACCATCCCACTCTGGAAGGGGTTAGAAGAGGGTAGAAGACTCCAGGCCCCAGAGAGAGAGTTGGGCTCAGTTTCCCAAAATCACCGATCCATCTGTTCCATTCCAGACTCTTCCCACCCTCCAAGCTCCAAGCTCTCCATTCACCTGCCTCCTATTTCTGTTCTGGGATCGGAAGGAATATGAAGGTATAAAGAATTAGAAGCCAAAAGATAGAAGGGGATCATGATATAAATATGGGAAAGGGAACATTTTTTAAGCACGCGCTATATGCTAGGCAACATGCTAAACACTTTACAAATATGCTAGACAGATGAATAGATGAACAGACACAGACCAACAGATAGATAGATAGATAGATAGATAGATTATGGATGGATGGATAGATAGATGGATGGATAGATAGAAAGACAGACAGAGAGAGAAGAGATGATGGAGTATGTAGTGTTTTTTCTATGCCAGGCACTGTGCCAAGCAGCACTGAGGATATAAATTCAAGCAGATATGAGAGTCTCTGCCCTCAAGGAGCTTCCATTCTAGTGAAGAAACTGGGGAGGGTAAGTGGGTGGGGGAATGTGACTTGAAGTGACTTAAAGACCCTGTTCCAGACAAGATGAGGTAAAAGCTCCCCTAACAGAGCCTGGTTTCTCAGAGTTCTGATGGAGATGAAAATGAAGATGATGGCCTGAGCCATGGGCCACATGGTAAGGAGATGAAAAGAACCCTGGCTGCTAATCAGAGGTCTTGGGTTTGAGACCTGACCCTGACTCTTAGTGACTTTGTGACATTAGGCCACAAACTCCCCACTGTGGGTCTCAGGGAGTTCACCTATAAAATGACAGACTTGACAAGCATAGCCAAAAGACGAAGAAATTAACCTGCCTCCCTTCTTGGCAGAGGTGGGGGGCTGGTGGTGAGAAACACTGCGTATCCTGTCAGACTCAGTTCATGGATTGATGAGTTTTGCCATGACTTTGTCTCCTTTCTTTTTCTCTCTCCCTCTTTATTTCAGTGGAAGATTCCCTAGATAGGGAAGGAAAGAAGGATAAATTCAGAAGTGAAGGTGATATAAAAGGAAGACATTGGGGGCAGCTATGTGGCACAGTGGATAGAGTACCGGCCCTGGAGTCAGGAGGACCTGAGCTAAAATGCGGCCTCAGACTAGACAGTTGACACTAGCTGCATGACCCTGGGCAAGTCACTTAACCCCAATTACCTAAAAAAATAAAAAAATAAATAATAAAAGGAAGACATTAATAAGAATTAAAAACTGGGGAAAAAAACCCAGGGCTTGACTTAGGTGGTTTCTAAGAGTCTTTTCACCTAACATTCTATGAGAGAACCCTCTATATTCTAAGATCCCTTTCAGATCTAACATTCTAAGTCTGTGAGTCAGTAAGTCATTCTAAGTCTGTAAGTCACACCATCTGAGTGCCAGACCAGGCCAGCTTTGGCTTTCCTCTTGAGAAAGGGACTCCTAGTTCCCATTCCTATCTGTCAACACAAAGGTTCTCAGAGATCTGGGTGGGTTTTCATGCGGTCAGCCTAGCTCAGCAATCCCCAGGGTCAAAATTTGGGGGAAACAAGGCAAAAGAGGAAGTGAGATCTGTGAGGGAAAGAGGGAGGGAATTGGGGGAAGGGGGACGGGACATGGTGTCCTGAGGCTCCCACTGACCAGACTTCCTCCTGCCCTCTGAGAAGGGAAGCAGCGGCCACTGAGGCACCACTTCTGAGAACAGGCCTAGTGCCCTCCAGCTCCATCCCAGGAGGCAGCAGCCCCCAGGTGAGACTGGGCTTTCTCCTTCCCGCTATCTTCCCAGGGCTGACTGGTTAGCATGACAATATCTCGAGGGAGTCAAAGGAACAGAAGGAGGGGGGAAGGAAGGGGAAAGGAGGGAGTTTTCTCATCCATAAAATTATCTCTAGCTTATCTCTAAGGGCCCTTCCAGCTCCAATATTCTCTGTTCTGAGAATCCTCTCAGACCTGACAATCTATGTTCTAAGCTCTCTTCTGGCTCTGACATTGCCTGTTCTAAGATTCTCCCAAGCTGATGTTCTGTGTGCTAAGAAAGATCCCTTCCAGACTTCATAGTCTGTATTCTGATAATATTCTAAATGCCAGACGTCTCCATTATCCCCACACTACCAAGATGTAGCTCAGGAACTCCTAAGAATCCTACTGAACATAGGACTGAGGGGGGAGAAAAGGATTAAGGGTGGAAGGGCAGGAAAGGTGCAAGTGGAGAACGAGGGCAGGTCCCATCTTTCCTTCAGAGCCTAGGAGTCTGGTCTTGGGGAGAAAGCCCTTTCTTCTGCAGGTAAGATCGAGGGGGATGGGGCCAGAGGCAAGCAAATGGAGGGGTGACCCACAGATAGCCTAGCTATGGCCAGCTGGATTTCCAGCTTGGCTTTCCATCCCCCATACCCCTGGTGGGTGTTCTTTGGGGGAGGGGGTTGCTCTCCAAAGGGTGTTAGAAAAGGAGAGCCCAGGAGCTTCTTCCTCCCTCACTGGTGCTGGGATTTCCACAGGATGGACATGAAGCCACCTCAGGGCCATGGCCTGAATCTGCTTCTGTTCCTATTGGCCCTTCTGGGAGGGATCCAGGCTGACCCAGCCTCCAGCTGCTATGGGATCCCTGGAATGCCTGGAATGCCTGGGGCTCCAGGGAAAGACGGCCGAGATGGGCTGAAGGGGCCCAAGGGGGAGCCAGGTGAGTCCTGCCAGCCTAAGGAAAACAACTGAATGGGGAAGAGCAGAGATAGCAGTGGAAGCAGAGGGACGGGAGTACCGTGGGCCCCCGGGGCCCAGTGTTTGGTTATCACACCTTGCCTCAGTGTACAGTAATCCCCTATTCATGGGAGATGCTGAAGGACGATGCTAGCAGATGCCCATCCCCTTGGCATGTAAACCTGGCAGGGGCCTCTATAGTCCAAGTTTAAGGAGCAGTGAGACTCTCAGAATGCTTCATGCCTTCTCCTCTGAGGGGACGGGGCCCCATTCTGGAAGCTCAGAGTTGTCCGTGGCCATAGAAGAGAGGCACGCTCAGCACCCAGTCCTATGCCCTCCCTTTACAGATAAAGAAATTGAAATTGAGGCAGATGAAGTACAAGGTCATGGGCCCATTAAGTGGAAAAGCGAGAGCTAGAACCCAGGGTTCCTGACTCCCAGTGCACAGCAATGGCATCATCTGCTCACCACTATCAAACCTTGGGAAGAACAGGGATTCTGCTCTCTCTTCCTTCCTCCCCTGTCCGGAAGACCTTAGTCATCAATTAAGTGAGGAGGGAAAAGGGGGAGGGGAAGGTGGGGACCAGAAAAGCACGGGGGTGGGATCTGACCCTAGAGATCTGGGGGAAGGGTAGGGTAGGGGGTGATGTCTGCTTATGTGTCTGTATTGAACCGGGGCTCCAGGTCTATACAGCAGGAAATTAAGAAGGGTTGGCCACAGTGAGGGAGGGAGTCTCTCTGCGTGTGTCTGTACATGGGTGTGTTTATGGTGTCCCTACGTGTGACCAAATGAGGCAATAGACATGACATAAATGCTAATACATACCCATCTGGAGGTTAAATGTCTGTAAAAGACTCTGTGTGTATGCGTATGTACCTCTGACAGGCTGTGTATGTTTGTGCCTGAGTCTATGTGAGTATGTCACAGGGGAGTCTGCGGGGAGCTTTGTATGTATCTGTGTAACTTCATGTCAGTGTGAGACGATGCGTGTGTTCAAGGTTATATAGCCGTGCAAAGTGTATGCAAAGAAGAAGAGTATTAACTAATAACAATAACACACAGATATGTGCCATGCTAAGGTTGACAGAGTGTTGTGCGTACTACCTCCAATAACTCATAGTCATAACTCACCTTTATAGAGAGATCTAAGGTTTGCAAAGCAATTTTTACATGTATAATCTCATCAGAGATTAGCTGCACAACCCAAGGAGGTGGCTGCTATTATTTCCCCATTTTGTGGAAGAGGAAACTGAGACTCGGAGAAGTTAGTGACGTACCCAGGGGCATACAGCTGGTAGGAGCTAAACTTTGACTCCAGGTTCAAACCTCTCCACTCAATCTGCTGTGTGGTCCCTGTAGGCACATTTGTCATTGAAAGTATATATAGGAAGCAAGCTGTGTGTTTCTCTGTGTGTGTTCATGGGACATTCTGTGGTGGGGGGAGAGGAGGCATGGGGGTGTACCTAGAGGGTGAGGAGGGGTAAAGTGGGGGGCATACTCAGGGGAAGCCCTATATGTATGTTAATGCATCTATCTGGAGAAGGTTTAGGGTTCCCTCCACTTCTAATAATCCCAGAGCACTTTGGCCTCTGCCCCATTCCACTTTGTTTTCCTTATTTCTATGTGCACTTGGCACATCTCCAATAACTGACTCTAAGCAAGTTCCTTAGGGACAGAGACTGTGCCACCTTTCATCTTTGGATTCCCCATCTCCTAGTACATGACTTTGCACACAGTAGGTGCTTAATAAAGGCTTGGTGAATTGAATGGCAAACACCTGGGGCAGGGAGTCTGAACACCTGGTTCTAGCTCCAGTCCTATTTCCTTTCCTGCAGCTGAACTATGGTGAAGGAGTACACATTGAGAAATGGCTGGGGCTGGAAGGAAGACCTCTCTGACTTTCTGAGGACAGGCAGTATGGTGTCATCCTAATTCTAACAAGTCGCATTCCCAGGGAGTCCTTGGAGGTCCACAAAACACATTCCTCAAAACAAGATGGATGATATAGTTATCATTCTCCCCATTTTACAGAGGCAGAAACGGTGACTTATCCAAGGTCACATAACTTGTAAGCACTCAAGCCCAATCCTGAATGTAAGACAGTCACCTTCCTTCGCACCACGTTGTCAGGAAGGTTAGCTAGGCAGCATGGGTTATTGGCAAATGTTCTGGATTTGGAGCCAAAAGAACTGGGTCCATTTCTGACTCTGCCTCCTATGAACCAGATCACTACAGACAAGGAAGTAATTTCTCCTCTGCAGTATTCAGTGTCCCCATCTACAAAATGGGGGGACTGTTCCTCACACTCCCTGTACCTAGTAACCTTACAGGTAACCCTATGGAGTTTGGAGGAAATTATTTTGTAAACTATAAAGTGCAATAGAGGTAGAAATGGTTACTAATGATGATTGATCTCCTACTAAGCGCCCAGGGCTCTGTGAGATGATTTGGAAGGTACAAAGAGTTCTAAGGTCCAGACCCTGACCTCAATCAATAAATCAGCCAACAAGCATTTGTTAAGGGCCCCTTTGTGTCAGGTCCTGTGCTAGGCACTGGGGAACCAAAGAGAAAAGGAAAAAAAAAATTCCTGCCCTCAGGGAGTTTATATTCTATCAGGAAAAAACAAAAGGTACACATATAAATATCTATGAAATGTATACAAAGTTAAGGCCAGGTCATTTCAAGGGGGTAGTGGGGCTCTTCATGTTGGTGAGAGAAAACCCACATCAACATTTAAATTAAAAAAACCGTGAAGTTTCAAAAAGCAGAATGCTTAAGTGTGGATGAAGTAGTGTATGCAAACGGACAGCTGCAGAACAGAAGAATCCATCCTGAGTTGTGGTGATCAGACATTGTTTTATGGAGGAGGTGAATCCAGAGCTGAGCCTTAGAGGACAGGCAGAATTAGGAGAAAGGGAAAAAAGGGAGACTTCACTTCTGAGAGGGGCATAGTGGGAGGTAAACATATGGATGGTGTGTCTCCTAAAATATTAAACATTTAGGAAATCTCTTTCTCCTTATCCACTCCTTTCTTTCTCTTATAAAATCATGGCACCTCAATGCTGGAAGGAGTCCAAGGGAAGGGTGGTCTTAGAACATCCCTACCTGAGCAGGAATCCCTTTTGTAGTAAGAGCATCAGACCTGAATTTAATGGATGTGGAACCTTGGACATGGCATTTAATGGCTCCAAATCTTAGTTTCCTCATCTGTAAATGGGCATCAGAATATTCACATTGCCCATGAGAAAAACCCTTTGTAGACCTTAGCATACTATAGGGATGTGAGTCATGGATTATTGTTATTGTTCATAATAATAAGCAATGTTTCTATTAATGTATTCTGAGGTAGTAACAACAATAACATATTTGTATAGCAGGTTAAGGTTTATAAAATGCATTCTCCTCATCATAACCCAGTGAGGTAGACAATATAAGTATCATTCTTCCCATTCTATAGATCAGAACACTGAGGCTCAGATGTACCATTTTCCCTTTGTCTTTGTATTCCCAGCACCTAATGTAGTATTCGGCATATAATATTGCTTAATAAATTCTCACTAATGAATTGATTGAGCTCCAGTATAGGATGTCCTCTCTGAAATGTCCCTTCTTTCCACAGGGATACCAGCCATTCCTGGGACACATGGACCCAAGGGCCAGAAAGGAGAACCAGGACTCCCAGGTCACCCTGGGAAGAATGGTCCCATGGGACCGGCAGGGGCCCCTGGTGATGCAGGCTCCCAGGGTCCACCAGGACAGCCAGGTTTCCCTGGCAAATACAAGCTGAAGTACCAATCAGTGTTCTCAGTGGCACGGAAGACCCAGCAGTACCCAGAGGCCAATAAACTGGTCAAGTTCAACATGGTCATCACCAACCCTCAGGGAGACTATGACCTGACCACAGGCAAATTCACCTGCAAGGTGCCAGGCCTCTATTACTTTGTCTACCACACGTCTCAGACGGCCAACATGTGCCTCTCCCTGTTCCTCAGTGGTACCAGAAAGGCCTCCTTCTGTGACCATTTATCCAACAAAAAGCAGGTCAGCTCAGGTGGGGTCCTGCTCCAAGTGGCACTGGGAGAGGAGGTGTGGTTGGAGGTCAATGACTTTAACGGCATCGTTGGCACTGAGGGCTCTGATAGCGTCTTCTCTGGCTTCCTGCTCTTCCCAGACTAGGACCTTATAATAGCTTGTCCAGCCTTCTCTCCGCCCATCATCTCCCATGCTTACCTCGTGCTCTTTCTCCTACAAGAATAGAAGCTCTTTGAGGGCAGGGGCTGATTCATTTTTTTACTTTGTATCCCCAGGACCTGACACCTAGTACACATTTAATAAATACTTGTTGATTGATTGGAAGGATCTCCTTTCTCCCTCCCTATCAGCTGAGCTCTGCTGGTCTTACCTTTACTGTCTTGACTTGGCCAGCCCACACCAATCTCTCCCTCCCATGCTCATATGATGCCGTCTGCCTCCCTATTTAGCTCTGAGCATAGACTACCCTGGGCTGTAGCTAACTGGTCGTGTCAGTTAGCCTCTCTTGCCTCCACCATCTGGATGTGAGCTTCTAGAGGTCAGAACCTACACCAATGGACCTTGGACGCAGTAGTATTCAATAAATGCTGGTCATGATGATCATGTCTAGAAGTCCTAAGCCGCCCTCTGGAAAGCCATCCTGGAAATCACAAGGGGCCCTTGAATGTCAAGGAGCATTTTTTGTTTATTGGTTTATTCTTCAGAAAATGTGTTTTAAGGTTTGCTTTTGCTTGTCTCTTCTGCCTCCATTAAAGCTGTTAGTACTCAAGTCATTGAAAATGTGTTTGAATTCTCACAAGTATGTTTGAATGTGGAAGGACAGCCTGGGAGGGTGGATAGAGAGCCAGCCTAAAAACCAGGAAGCACCCCCTCCCGCACATATTGGTGTGACCCTGGACAAGTCACTAAATCACCTCAGAGCTCTAGGCAATTCTCTAAGAATATAAGATGCATAGAGGGTGCCAATCTGCACTGGTGGAGGGAGTATCCTCACCTGGGAGTTCCCTATACCGGTGAAATCACAAGTCCAGCTCCTAGCCTTGTGTTTGAATGTGAATCTTGCCTTCCACAGGAGAGCTCACTTAACAAATGACTCATCCATCATCACAGAATCACTAACAGAGGTCTAATTAAGGCATCTGATCATTGCTCTTCCCTGCTGTGCACATTAGCCAGTATTTGGTCAATAGCCAGGACACACAAAATACACTCTAAGAGGTATTAAAATTCATTCATGCCCCCCCCCAAGAACCCTGATGGGCCAACTCAATCAATCAGAAAGATCTTGGTTTCTTGAATAGTTAAAAAAAGTCAGGGAGGGGGCAGCTAGATGGTGCAGTGGATAGAGTACCAGCCCTGGAATCAGGAGGATCTGAGTTCAAATCCAGCCTCAGACACTTACTAACTATGTGACCCTGGCCAAGTCACTTAACTCCAATTGCCTCTAAAACAAAAAGTCAGGGAGTAAGAGGATCTGAATTCTAGTTCGACTTCTGAGCTCTGAAGGAGTTGCAAGATACTAGGGAAGGGAATAAGCATTTATACGGCACACCTACTATGTGCCAAGCACTGTGTTAAGTGCTTTATCAATATTGTCTCATTTAATCCTCACCATAACCCTGGGAGATAGGTGTTGTTATTATACCCATTTTACAGTTGAGGAAACTGAGGCAGACAGAGGCGAAGTGGCTTGCCCAGCGTCACACAGCTAGTAAGTATCTTAGGCTGGATTTGAATCTAGGTCTTCCTGAATCGCGCCTAGTGCTCTAACCACTGCACCTCCTGGCCTTTAGCATCCTCCTCTAAAAATGAAAGGGTAGGACTAGATAGTTTCTGTGTGGTCCCTTCCAGACGTGACAAGCCATTCCTCCAGCTCTCGCACCCCAGAGCATCCATCCTGTCTCGTCCAGCCCTCTAGCTTTAAGATGGGGACAGAGATGGGACCTGCCATTCTAGTGGGAGAAGGAATTCCCAGGTGAGGGAAGTCCCTCTACTAATGCAGGTCAGTACCTTCTCTGCAACATATAGGCTTAGATGGCTGCCTAGGTCACTGAGAGGGTGAGGGACTTGCCTAATTAGGGTCACGCATCCAGGATATGTCACTGGGGGGACCCAAACCCAGCCTTTTCTCTATGCAATGGGCCCTCTCATTGTGCAGGTGGGAAGCCTGAGGCACAGACAGGGTCAGTGTCTCACCCCAGGTAGCAAAGGTAGGAAATGCCTAAACAAGCACATAAACCAAGGTCCTCTAACTCCAAATCTTGCATTCTTTCCAGGAAAATAGCTTGTCTCTAACATGTTGTGTTCTAAGGTCGTGCCTGCCTCTGATATTCTGTGTTCTAAAGGCCTTCCCAGGTTTAACATTCCACGTGCTAAGGGCCCTCCCAGCTCTGATATCCTGTGTCCTAAGGGCCCTCCC